GATTTCCCAAATGGGTCCCCTTAAATCTCCTGGCCCAGATGGATTACCTGTCGTCTTTTTTACTAAATTTTGGCATATTCTAGGGTCTAATGTATTATCTTGTGTTCTTGATTTCCTTAACAACCGCAAACTTCCACCTTCTATGAATTTTACTTATATTGTCTTGATCCCCAAAGTAAAAACCCCAGAAAAAATCACTGATTACAGACCAATTAGTCTTTGCAATGTTATTTATAAATTTGGATCCAAAGTCTTGGCTAATCGGTTAAAACTTGTGCTTAATGATTTGATCTCACCCACCCAGTCGGCTTTTGTCCCCAAAAGACTTATAACCGACAATGTTCTTGTAGCTTTTGAGGTCAATCATTTTATTAAACTCAACTCCAAGAAAAAAACGAATTACATGGCTATCAAACTTGACATAAGCAAGGCATACGATCGAATTGAATGGATCTTTTTGAGAAAGACCCTCTCCCGCCTTGGCATTCCCTCTGATTTTATTGAGTTAATTATGTTGTGTGTTTCTACAGTCTCATTTTCCTTTCTATTTAATGGTTCTCAGTTCGGGTCCATGCTCCCTTCGCGAGGCCTTCGACAGGGCGACCCGCTTTCACCGTACCTGTTTATATGTTGTGCAGAAGTCCTGATTGGTATGATTTCCAAAGCTACAGAGCGCGGTGACTTTAGTGGCGTTAAAGTAGCCCCGACTGCGCCGATCATCTCCAACTTGTGTTTCGCAGATGATACCCTCGTCTTTGGAGAAGCTACTGTAACTTATGCAGCTTATTTGAAGGGGATTTTGTCCAAATATGCACAGGTATCCGGGCAGGAAATCAACTATGAAAAGTCTACAATGGTCTTTAGCCCGTCCACACCGCGAAGCTTACGAACCTCTATATATCACATCCTGGGATTTCAGGTTGTGGAGCGGCACGACAAATATCTCGGAATGCCGGCCTCTATGGGAAAAACCAAAAAGGAAGTCTCTCTTTCTGCGAGACCGTGTATGGTCAAGAATCAAGGGGTGGGGGGAAAAACAACTCTCGAAAGCAGGGAAAAAGGTCCTCATCAAATCGGTTCTGCAGGCGATCCCCTCATATATCATGAGTTGTTTCATGTTGCCGAAAGGATTACTTATGGAAATTGAGGCAGCTATTCGACGGTTTTGGTGGGGTAACGGGACTAGCCGAGGAATAGCATGGACATCGTGGCAGGAGTTGTGCAAGTCTAAGGAGAAAGGGGGCCTCGGTTTTCGCAATCTTCGTAGTTTCAATATTGCTCTTCTCGTTAAACAGGCGTGGCGCTTACTCATTAATCCATCCCACCTGCTGGGACAAATTCTTTCGGCGAGATATTATCCTCAAGGACGTCTTTTGTCGGCTCCATTGGGGTCACGACCGTCCGCCACTTGGCGTAGCATTTGGAGTGTGATCCCTTATCTTAATCTTGGTATTCGACGTCGAGTTGGTAATGGAATCGAAACTTCTATTTGGGCGGACCCATGGCTAAGCGATGGGGGCAGTTTCAAGGTAATTACTAGACGCCCCCCCGACTCGGCTTTCCCTAATCGGGTTTCGGATCTTATGGCTGCTGACTTACAATCATGGAATGTGAATCTGATTCAAACTACGTTTTGGCCGGTTGATGTTGATCGTATTTTGGCTATCCCGGTGGGAGGAAGCTCCGTGAGAGATAGATGGATTTGGCACTTTTCTAGCCACGGGAACTTCACGGTCAGATCATGTTACCATCATATCATTTCATGCCCTTCACCTCTCGGTCGTCATCGTGTAATTGATAATGGTTCAAGTAGTGGAGTGAGCATTCAGAACTGGAAAGAAATCTGGAAGATTCCCATTCCCCCGAAAATTTGTGTTTTCTTATGGCGTTTCAAAAAAAATTTTCTCCCGACCAACGCCGAATTATTTCGGAGGAAAATCTGCCCCTCTCCTCTCTGTACAGCATGTAATGGCGGCGACGAGACGATATTACATGTGCTCCTTCACTGCAGAGGAATGGCGGAAGTTTGGAGAAGTCACCCGTTCGACCTAGCCCATGACCTCACTTTCTCTTCGACTCGGCATTGGGTGGAAAGTTTGCAGCATATGCTTGACAAGGAAACTTTCATTCTAGCATTGGTGGTTGCATGGAAAGCTTGGGATAATAGGAACCTAGATATGAAAGGTGAGAAGTACTTGCTATCGTGCGAGTTGGTGACTTGGAGTTGCAATTATTTGGCAACGTTTAAGGCAGCTCAAATTCGACCCAATGCCAACCTTACACAGCTGCACCCAAGCGAGTGGATCCCCCCTCCACTAGATGTGATCAAATTGAACTTCGATGCAGCACTTCCAATAGGTAAAAAATTTCTAACTACATCTGTTGTGGCAAGAAACAACGAGGGTACATGCATGGGATGGAAAGTGACAAGGCTAGACGGAAACCTCCGCCCAGTGGAAGGAGAAGCTCTCGCTGCATTAAGGGCTATTGTTTGGGCTAAGGAAAAGGGATGGGAGAACGTCATTCTAGAAGGAGATTGTATCCAAGTAATCAACGCCCTTCGTAATGGAGAAGCTGAATTTTCGTCGTTTGGATCACTAGTTGAGGAATGTTGTTTTGTTGCGAGTACCTTTAACTCGTGTAATTTTATGTTTATCAAGCGTGCAGGCAACTCTTTAGCTCATTCTATTGCTAAAATTCCTTGTATCGACTATTTGGAGGGCTTCAACCTTCCTATGAATTTGACGGATGTCGTCTAATAATATGTCTTTTATCTCAAAAAAAAGTTTATGATATTTTATTTTATAATGCTCTTATTGATATAATTACAATATATAATTAGCTTAGTTTATGATATTTTATCTATTGATTACAATTTGCAATATTATGTAGTATAATAAAATATTTTAAAAAAAACTCATAGTACATTATAATTTTGTTTTTAATTAGTAAATGAATGTAATATTAATTATTTTTACAGAATCATAAACAATAATATAGTTTTATTATAACATTGCAATTTTTTCAAATTAATTATATTTAAAACGTTTTACATAAATTATACATAGAGGCTAATGAAACCCTTTTTTTTATTTTTAAATAATATTATAATAAAAAAAGCAATAAAGAATGACAAGGGAACACATGGGCCCACAAATGCTGGCTAAATGACTCTATAACTGTGGAGATGGGTTTGGAAGAGCGAAAAAAATCTCCACTGCAGCACTTTCTCTCTCCAAAATTTGGAGATCTGACACTAGCAACCCCTTTAAGGAGTCCACTGTGGATGCTCTTACCGAGAGAGAAGATATAGATTTCTATACAGCTGTCCGATTCGAAGCATGTGGGACCCAAGCAATCCAATCCCACCACTACTCTACCGACACGTGGGGGATCTTATGCTGACCACCGCTGTTAACTTGAAAGAACTGTAGGGAACTACCAACTGTATGCAATCACCCAACACCCACTCTTCGCCTCTAGGGGTGAGCATAAAAACCGAGAAACCGAAAAACCGAACCGAAAACCGAAAAAACCGAGCCGATATACACCGTCCCGACTTAAAACCGCATACACGGTAAATATTTTTTGAAAAACCGAAAAAATCGGTATGTGTATGGAGAAAAAAAAAAATTGCCGAACCGATTTACCGAACCGAACCGATTTGGGAATACAAAACGACGTGGTTTGATAGATAGTAAAAATCGGTAAGTTTTTTTGGTAATCAATGTGGCTACGCTCAGATACTTAATCTTTTGATGTAGTTGGACTTCTTTGATGGGGCAACAGGTTTATTTTTTTGAAGATGAAATTAATGACATTTAAGTTTATTAGTTGTAATCTCATTATTTTTTTTATGGCAGTAGGGTTATATTTTTATTTTTATTTTTCTAATGGCAGTAAATTTATTTTATTAGTTAATTTTGGATTGTTACTTGTTAATTTTCTCAAAGAAATGTGATAGAAGTCCAAATTCATCGTTAATCAAACATCGGTTTTATGCCGAACCGATTCGAACCGATAATGAAACCGAAATCGAAAATAAACCGAATTGATACCGATACCGTTTACCGAAAACCGAAAAACCGATTCGTACCCGAACCGAAAAAAAACCGACATACACGGTTTTAAAATATGAAAAACCGATATTATCGGTACGTGTTTGGTTTATTGCAAAAACCGACCCGTACACACCCCTATTCGCCTCTCTGTGCATGTCTTTTCATTTGATGCTTGTGCTGGCCACAGACCACTTGTCAATGCACAACACCCTCCGCCCCCCCTT